AGGGTGGAGTGGATCAAGACTGCAAAGGATACGCAACTGATTGCGACACCACGGGCAACCCACGGTTCTGGAGTCGCTTGACCCGCCGCGAAGAGGACATACCTCCCGAACGCGAACGAGTTGCCGGCAGAGAAACCAAACAATACCATTTGGGAGAGAATGATGGAGGTGGAGAGGTATTTCGGTTTGCGATGGACCCTTTCTACATAGTTCTTCTCCCCGCCAGAGCGAGGTATTCCTAGGCCAAACTCGATGTAGACGGAAAGGCCACTGAAGGTGAGGATTCCGCCAACAATCCAAAGGATCAAGCTAACACCGACGGTACCAGTGGCCTTATAAATGCCGGAGGGGGTACTAAAAATACCAGTTCCAATCATCTTGTTAATGATGACGAAAATGGAGCTGGTGACTCCGAGCTTGCGAGATTCTTCGAACTGAAAGACTTGCTCTCCTTCGGCTACGACCTCACTTTCGCCCTTTTCCTCCGAATGGGAAGGCGTGGAAGAGAGCCTCTTGAGATCTTTTTGATCCTCTTCTAGTGATGCCATGGTCACTCGCGATAAACCTATACTTAGAGATGACCTTGAGAGGTAAGCCTCGATGGTGTGCACTCGACGCCGCAACTAACTTATAACCGCCTAGAGTCAATAGAGGCCCCGCCCTGTGGCGGAAGACCAATCGGCAATCCCCATCTCGGCATCACGGCATATTCACGATCAGCTTCTAGGTGAAAAAAGCGTCCAATCCCAGCCGCTTAGTTTGCGTAATAACGTTACACCCTAACCGCCACCCAATGGAGATCCAAACGATAGGGACCAAGGAACAAGAAGATCTTGCCAAGAGGAAGACGCCATGTGGGAAAGATGTAGGAGGATGACAACTCGTGAACACAACTAGGCACCACCTGTGTTATGGGGAATATCAAGCCTCCCGACTTCGGGGAGGATAAAATTGTAGGCTGACAAATGGTCGAAATCAGAAAGCGCCTTGAGAAGAACAGAATTGATTCGAGGATATCTGGTATGTACGGTATTAATTCTGGTTCGCCGCTCTCCTCTCCTAATCAATTGGGTATAGGGAGCGTTCTCGATACAGTTCGATTAATACCCCCGAATGAACTCTAGAAAACATGAAGAACGGATACTGTCTACGACATTAACTGGATTTCGTAACATGTATTTCCATTTTCGTTTCAAGTAGCCAGTGCCGTGTAAGATTTGGGTCTGGACACACGGCTTGCCTCGTTCGCAAATGGGCCGCTTGATCAACTGGATGCAACGTAATCACCTCTGATGAACATACAGCATTACATACTCGAGAAGCGATAGGATTGCCCCCTGGAATTGGCCAAAGCCAAAGCCATTAAGCCAAAGCACATGGCTCGCTGGGCTCAGCTGCTGATTACGCTCGAAGGTTCTGATGGACTAATGGTGCCTTTATTCACTTTAGACACGGGAGACTTGATTCTAGTCTGGTGCTTGTCACAAGCTGGCGAAGACAATCGGACTCACACTTTAATCTCCGCTTAGACCGTCTCGTGTCCTCAACAGCTAGTTCCTGAATCTACTAAAATACTATGAACACTCTTAGATCATTCATCATCCTCGCTATCGGACCGAATCCTTGAAGTCTGAGACGACTGGCTGTACAAGGTACAAAGGCGAAGAGTGGGTGAACCCACTGGCTTGGCTGCTAGAAGCGCGTAACCAAGTCGCAAACGTTGGCTGGAGCCATGAAACCCTCAGAAGTGGCATGGCGTGGCGTAGCATGGCTGCCTTTCATAACTCGGAATTGCTTCAGTAAGCCAAAGTCAATAAACTCAAAGGGAGAGGCGAATGATTCGTGGCTTAAATTTTCTATTTCCGATGGCTAAGATTCCAGGCTCCTCTCCTATAAGAAACACGACTAGAGCCGTCCACAAACCCAAACTCATCCCCTCATCACACCGTGAATACTCTTCGAAACCTACAAACGACCTAACAGCCTTCCAAATCACCGCCTATAACATGTGAGTACTCGAGTCTCGAGTGGAATGGGAGACCCCGTAGCTGATACCCACTTTAAGCCATCATGCAATCCACCTCAGGAACACCCACCTCCCCATCCTCGTGGGAAATCTTGACCCCTGCCTACTTTTCAGCTCTTTCAGCCCCTTCTAATGTTCCCCCTGGACGCCCAGTACGACCACCCCCGTAAGAACCACTGGCTGGTGCCCCTTTCACCAAATTGACCCCTAGTCCAGAGCCAACCGTCCAAAGGGATGGAACATTGACTTTACAAACTATCCGTAAGCCAATCCAAACCTCGCACGACTCGTCTAACCCCGCCTACTCTCAGGCTTACTCCACCCAAGCCCCCGTCTACACGTCCTACACGACCAACCTCTTCCACCTCTTTCACGTCAGACAGACCACCCACTCGGTCACGGACGATAGGGAGTTCTTCCGAACGTGAAAAGGGCAAAGGTAAAGGACGACTATCCGCGTCTGTTCCATTTAGCCTAGAGCAGGACGGGCTCGAAGAGTGGCATCCAGAGGAGAGGCCACCAAAGAAGAGGAGACGTGTCGAGTCCCCGGAACCGTCGACTGTCCTCTCCCTTCCTAACCCTCAAGGGTCTACACACCTACTTCCATCAAGCACAACTCGATATAACGCTATTCAATCGCAATCTTTACCCGCGAAACAGAGTAAAATTGATAGCGTAGAACATGTGCTTTCGGTGGAAGAGGTGGTCGGCGAAACGGAAGGGGAAAACACTGCGCATACAAACGAGGAGACGAACAGAGTCGACTCGTGGGGCTTTGAGGATGGGTCTTTGGTCGTGACG